TTAGGGGTTTAGGGGAGGGTTTAGGGTTTAGGGTTGAGGGTTTCGGGTTTAGGGGTTTCGAGCTTACAAAGGACTTCTGGAGTGGAACCAGGTGGGTTTGTGTGCAAAGTTTAGTGTTGAGGCCTTCTTATGTCAAGGGTGCTACGCTGTTTTTGCAGGCTTGTATTAGAGGTGAGTAGAGGATGCCAACATTCTATGCGTGCATTTGCGATGTAACGCGAGGCTTTCCTTCATGACCCCACAAAGCGATGTTGTCACACACACACACAGACGGTTAATGGCTGCCTTGGCCTTAGTTACGGTTTTTGATCGTCTATAGATGGGGGTTCTCTAGATAGTGTTAGTGGCCCGCCTCAGCTGTACAGTCTTCAATATACGAATGATGTACCTTTGTGGATCCAAGTCTGCCGTACAGAACTACCCGTATATCCATGCAGAGTCATGTGCCCCCAACCCTAAACTCTACATCCGAAACCGTACATCGACACCTTCTTACTCCGTAAACCCTGCTCCCAATGAATCCCACCCTTCAGCCTAACTCCCCGGCTCACCGCAGAGCGCCACACCCTACATCCGCTTCTGCAGGCGGGTTCCGTGATGTACCTGACAGAGGGATATGCCTGGCAACAGCTCCAGCTCCCGCCGCTGCCAAAGGATCGGTTGAGGGAGGACAAATACTGCGGCCGCCGACAGGAGTGGCTGAGCAGAATCGGGAGTTCTGGTAGACTTTTTGAGTCTTCTCAAATCAGAAGCACAAGAAGGGCTTTAGGGTTTAGGGTTGGTTTTTTTATGGTATATACGGAAGGGGTTAGAACTAGTTTTTTTCGGGTTCGGGTTCAAGGGGCTTACGGAAGGTTTTGACACGTTTAGAGGTTCCAGGAAAAAAGGTATCAGTTTTCAGGATGTTCATGCAGTAGATTGGAATAAGAGGGCTTCTTTTGTCCAACATGTCCTCGACCCAAACCTAAACTAGTGTCGAAGCAACGGTTGAACCCTGAGGATTCTGCGGCTCAGATTTTAAGGCTTAGGGTTTCTTGTGTCGAAACTCCAAGAAACTCCGAGCCCTGAGGTGTAAGTGAACCCTACCTACGGCCACAACCAGGCGGGCGACTCTCCATCCCTAAATCCCAAACCCTAAACCTGGAAGCATCCGTATAGATTCCTAAGAGGAACCCATGGCGTACCTCAAACTCGAAATCCTAGGCTGGTCTTCATCGGCGTCAACATGCAGCAGGACGACATTTGCAAAGCGCTTGACGAAGCGCTGGTGACGGAAGAGGACTTGGGCGTCGCATTTTGTTCGGTCTTCGGGGAGGTTTCTTGTGGGGTTACTGCAGGGTTTGATATCTTATGCCTTAAACCCTAAACCCTAAAACCTGAACCCTATTCATTGAAGGGTCCTAGCGGTTTCTAGGGCTCAGGCTTTCAAGTTTTGGATCTCAGAGCTCCGGGTTTGTCATCGAGTTATAATCTGACAACACACCAACCTTTTCGAGCTGTTTGGTTCTTACGCCTTAAGTATTCCTCTGATAGTTTCACCGTTTCGCCTAGTGTTTCCGGAAGGCTTGCGATCAGAAGAGGAACCCCAGCCCTAAACCCTAAACCTTAAACCCCTAAAACCCTAAACCCCTAAACCCCCTAAAGTCCTAAACCCTACACCCTGAAACCCTAAACTCTAAAACCCTAAACCCCCTAAAGCCCTAAACCCCTGAACCCCTAAACCCTAACACCCTACTGTAAAGCCCTAAACCCTAAACCCTAAACGATGAAGCTTAGAGCCTCAAGAGCCATACTTCTGAATACTATCGGGGCCTTAATAAGTAGAATAGAGTTCTGGGGATTCCTTTAAAGGGCTCCTTAAAGGGTTCTGTAAGGGATCTATAATAGGGTTCTATATTAGGGGCCTTAATAATTAGAATAGGGTTCTGGGGGGTATACTATTCCAAAAAAGCATAATAAGGAACCCCCAAAACCCTATCCTTATTCTTACTCTTTTGAGGCCCCTACATTACGTCACCTTAAACAACCCATTCTCTCAAAACCGATTCGAACCGTTCAGGCCCCCCTCTAGTAAGCTCTAAACCCTAAGCCCCAGACCCTAAACCCTGAAGCCTAAACCCTCGAGCCTAAACTTAAACCCTAAAGCCGAAACCCTAAACCCTAAACCCTAAACCCTCTTGTAAGCCCTCTAGTAAGCTCTGAGGATCCCAGACCTCGAATCGTAATGCCCGTTCCTTAATCCTTCAAAAGGCCCTGCAGTACCCGTGCCCTGGATATCAAGTCGGCTCCCTGGACCCCGAAAAGAACCCTAAACCCGGTTTAGGGTTTAGGGTTTAGGGTTTAGGGTTTAGGGTAAACCCGGTTTAGGGTTTAGGGTTTAGGGCTTAAACCTTTAAACCTGAAGCCCAAAGGAGTTCTCTGCCGGTCCAGCAGCGTGGTCTGGCTGGAGGAAGGTCGTGTTGAGCCAAAACCACCACGACCACAGCCACGCTGGTCACTTCAGCAGTTTTGAGTAACGCTTTTAGCCCAAAGCCCTAAACCCTAAACCCTTCTGTAGCTTGAAGGCTACTGACAGGGTTGAGGGGGAAGGGCCGAAAGGCTATCGGATGAAGGTTTTAGGATGAAGGGAAGACCTTGTTTCTGCCGGAACTCGCACAGAAAAAACTCCCAGAACCCGCGTCAAGCCCCTAATCCCTAAACCCTAATCCTAACCCTAAGCCCTAAACCCTAAGCCCTAAACCCTAACCCTAAAACCTAAACCCTAAACCCTAAACCCTAAACCCTTGTCATGCTGTCATAGAGCGAAGCCTTGGGGGCTCATGCTGAGGCCTTTCAGATTCTTACGTCTTAGAGTTCATGGACTCTAAGGTTCTGGGTTGGGGAGTCCCGCCAGTCCCATAAGTAAGGGCTCTTATGAGGCCGCTATAAGAGATCTGCGTGTATTTGTTTTGGTTTTAGACTGGGGGGTTTGGGGTTTACGGAGGTTTTTGGGCTTTGAAGGGCCCTAAACCCTAAACCCTGAACCCTAAACCCTAAACCCTAAACCCTAAACCGCAGTCGAAGGTCATGACGACCACAGCTGCCCGCAGTCCGATGAGGTGGCAGAGTGGGCGAGCATGATGCGCGACTGGTTCCCCGAGGTGCTGGCCCTGGGTTGTGTTAGGGTTTAACGTTTAGGGTTTAGGGTTTAGGGTTTGTGGGTTGGATGCTTAAAGTCTCGGGTTTACGACTTTCTTTCTTTCTTTTTGTTTTTTTGGGGGGGGAGGGGGAGTTGGGAGGGTGGTTTGAAACACATCTTTTCTTCGTGGCGAGTGTTGCAAGGGAGTTTGCAAAGGGCTTAAAAGTGAGTTATGCAGATGCATCAGGGTTGTATCGAGGTTTAGACGGGTCTTTTCAGACAGCGTGTTTGCTTTTTTCATGGGTGATGTAGGGGCCTTAATAATTACCTATACTAATTTTTGGGGTTCCTTATTCTAATTATAGTATACTATACCCTCCTAGCCCTGTTCTAATTATTAAGGCCATTATAATTTCACTTTTCTAAGGGTTCTGTAAACCCAACGTTCAGGTCCTAAGGGCTTCAGGGTTTCAATTTCTGGGATCAGCGGCCTCCGTGTCTTATTGGTGGTTTTAAGGATTGTCTCTACAAAACGGTGTTCGCCGTGCTTAGGATCAGCGACCTCGATTTGACGGTGTGAGCTCCCACAATTTGTCTATGAGTTTTTGAGGGTGTTAGGAGGGGTTTTAGTGTTCGGGTTTGGGGGAGTGTAAAGGGTTACAAGTACTACGATTCAGAGTTGAAACTTCATGGATAGCTATTAAGCCTATTGGGGTCATAGGTATAAAGCATTCATAGTGACCTTACTTGTAACCCGCACAGTTCAGTCCCATGCTCCTTGAAGTAACCCCCAAAGCCTAAGATGTAAACCCCTATCTAAAGCAGAAGACGTTGCTAGAACCCGAGTGAAACCTTGATACAACCCTTCTGAAGCCCTCGTGGAACCTGTAAGAAATCAACAATCTATATGGTATTGGGCGTGGGCAGTTTCCGCCTTGCAGACACAGACACGCAGACACAGAGAAAGGCACCGCATTCGGTATAAGCACAGGCACAGGCGCAGGCACAGCCACAAGCACGGGTAAACGCACAGACACAACCACAGACACAGCGACAGGAACAGACAGAGACATAGACAGACACAGAGACGGATGCACACAGACAGAACCGAATGAAGCCGAAACGGCCCTGAACCCTAAATCCTAAACGGCCCTAAACCCCAAGACCCAAAACCCTAAAACCCTAAGCCCCTGAAACCCTGAACCCTAAAACCCTAAAGCCCCAAACCCTTAAATCCCAAGCCCCAAGTGCAGCCCGAGGTCGTCGATCCCGAGATCCTTCAGAACCCTGAGGCGGCCATCGCCAAGCTGAGCGACAAGGAAGCTCGGGGCTCTTTTAAGGTTTTGGGGTTTAGGGTTTAGGGTTTAGGATTTCAGGGTTGTAGGGTTTTAGTGTTGAAGGGTTTTACGGATTTGGGGGTTTAGGGTTTAGGGTTTTATGGTTTAGGGTTTTAGGGTTTAGGGTTTAGGGCTTTAGGGCTTTAGGGTTTTAGGGTTTAGGGTTTTAGGGTTTTGGGGCTTTAGGGCTTTAGGGCTTTAGGGTTGTAGGGTTTTAGGGTTTTAGGGTTTTAAGTTTTTAGGGTTCAAGGGTCTAGGGTTTAGGGTTAAAATTATTGTTACGGTTACGTTTCTAGTAATTGCAATGACAATCATAGCTATCGTCTTCATTATAAGAGCAACAATAGCAATTAAAGTAGTAAAATGATAACAGTGATGCAGAATTGGTAGGCCCTTTAATTATGTCTAGGGTTTTACCATCGTGGAGATGCCACTGTTTCATAGCGTGCCTTCTTTACTGTCCGTGTAAGCTGAACAGCGCGAATGGGCTTGGGGACTTTGGGTAAGAAGCTTTATTTTGGGTTAAGGGTTCAGGGATCAACGTGGAGGTTTCGGCTTCAGGTCTAAGTATCTCGCGTTGAGGGTGTGGGGAACCCCTACACCCTAAACCCTAAACCCTAACCCTAAACCCTAAGCCCTAACCCTAGACCCTAAATCCTAAACCCTAAACCCTAAATCCTAAACCCGAAAAAAACCCTCAACCCTAAACCCTAAACCCTAAACCCTAAACCCTAAACCCTAAACCCTATACACTCTAAACCCTGCCCCAGGAAATCCGTTCAGCTCTGGAGCTCCGCGCCGTCTCTTTCAAAAAAGACGACGACCGCTCGGTGCTTGCGGAGCTTCTCCGACCGCTCTGGTGAGTGAGCAGAGCGGTTTAGGGCTTATGGTTTAGGATTTAGGGTTTAGGGTTTAGGATGGTTGTGGGTTTAGGGTTAAGGGTTTAGGGGTTTAGGATTTAGGGGTTTAGGGTTTAGGGGACAGGTCCCAAGCACTTAAACCCTCAATATAGGGGCCTTGATAGATGAACTAGTTTTTCTTAGGGTTTTCGGGTTCCTTATTGTCGAGTCTGGAGAATATGAACATGCCCCAAAATCCACAGCTCCTTTTGCTGGGGATCGGAGTATCAGTATCCCTGACAGTCCCCGCTAACCCAGAGACTCCAGTAGCCCTTAATTCAGGAATATACCTTAAATCATATCAGGGAGCCTACGACAATTTAAGGTATATTCCTTAATTAAGGGATATTGGAGCCTCTGGGAAGTAATTATACATAGTGGGCACCAATGCCCTTTTCGAGTTGTTCAGGCCTTCATATCAAACCCTAAACCGCAGCCAACGCAGGAAGCCAGAACAGCTTCATGACCTCTTGACCTTCAACTTCCCAAGCACTAGAGTCCCTAGACCCCAAAAGCCCTAACGCCACGACCCTAAACCCGAAACCCTCTAAGCCAAAAGCCCGAAACCCTCTAAGCCCTGCAACCCTTAAAGCCCTCAGATCCGAATATTTGGGCGACTGAATTCACATTCTCGGGCTCCGGCGGGCGACCTGGGTCGCTGCCGGAGTTCGATGTCTGGCTGACAGCTTCAGCCCACGAGGGGTGGCCACCCACCACAAGCTTTAGAGTTTAGGGTTTATGCCGGCAAGCCTCGCCTGCAGCTAGCGCGAAGAAGAAGGAAAGGACCATGATGTCCCGACTGTTTGGCATCGACTTTTGGGGGGTTCCTTACAATAAGTAGAGTATAATGGGCCCCAAAGCCCTATTCTAGTTACTAAGGCCCCTATATTACTCCAGGGTGTTCTGCTGTTGTGTACGGGCCGGGATTTGGGGGGGATGTTTGGGCCTGTCAAAGGTTTTTTGGGGAGGGTTCAGGGCTTACTTGTCGGGTTTATCATAACCCCTTGGAAGCCCGAATCGTAGAGAAAGGGCTTTCGTCACACAAGCTCTGAATCCTAGGGTTACAGGGATTCCGAGTTGTGGGGGGGGGGGGGGGGGGGG